GTAATTTACTAGTTGTATACATCTTAATATTATTCTTTGTGTGTATTTAATTCTTTAATTTATCCTAAAGTACCTTAATAGCTTTCAACGTTCGATTAGTGACACTCGTCAAGGACTCAAAGTCTATTGTTGTGTTTAACGAATTTAAATCTAATAAGTTATAGTTACACTCTTTTATCAATGCTTTATAAAGTTCTTGAATATAGTTTTTAAAATTTAGTTGGTATCTAGTGTTGAGACTGCTCATTATTGACAATCCTGAGGGTTGGTATTCTTTATTTAATTCCGGAATTTGATTGGACCATTTGAACCTATCTTGTTTATCATTTGTTTTAGTATTGTTTGCGGTCGAATATCGCTTTACCTCATTGAAGTCGGAGTTAGTGTCTATTCGAAAATTATTGCACGTGTATTCAATAATATCAACAATAAATAATGTACTTTAAACAATAGACATATTGAGTAAGTGTATAGGATTTAGTTTTATTTTTTTGATTTAAAAGTGATTTCTTACCATACTGAATCAACAATAAGTTTCTTGTGTTATTGTTAGAATACATTAAGTGTTTTTTTCGATTTTTGTATTGAGTTGGTTGTATTGTTTATGTAAATTTGTTTAAGTATAAATTTTAAGTTAATTTGTTAAATGTGTAAATGTGTTATTAAGATTTATTTTCGATGTTGATATCTATAGTAATATACACTTGGTTACTGATATAGTTAACCACATAATTGATTTATTATAGTAGTACTTATTATTGGCGAAAAACTTATGAATCATTGTAGATCCATGTGAATTATAGGGAATATTAACTTTATTTTTAATTATTACAAACAAACAATGCGTTCATTATCGTTATGTAATAGATATATAGTCATAGTCTCATAACATTAAACATCAGTGTTATAATACTGTACTAACTAGTATATTCAAGGAACATACTGTAAAATGTAGTTTGGATCAACTTTGAACAACTCTACTAACTGTTTAAAAATTATAATTCAACGCTCTAATAGTGAACTTCGTCTTAAATTTGTGATTGTTCACAACATGTAAAAATGAAAGATAAATTGAAGCCTTTTAAATTTTGATTAGAACGGTTTACAATGATGTGCGTGCAATCGTATGTGGTATATGTATTATACCACATTATGAACTTTTTATAATCTATTTATTATTTATTTTGTTAGATAACTCTTTCAGTTTTTATTTAATACTTAAATCCGTTTATAGAGAATTTTAATAATATCTTGAAACGGAATTGACCATTTTTCAGATTTACAAACAATTATTATTATTATTATTAAAGCTGTAAAATTCACTTAATAAATGATAAACCTACACTTAATTTGTTATACGTAGTGACAACGAAAATATTAAATTATTATACCTGACAATTACAGACGATTGAATATGTCAGTCATAATACGCACTCACATTTTTATCAAATTATATCAATATAACATTGTATAAATAATATTTGAGTCAGTTATTGTTTCATTTTACCCTCATCTCACCTGTAAAACCTTTCAACAAGCTTATTGCATTCATTTTTATAATTATTGGTTTAAACCAGGGGTCGGCAATCCACGACCCGCAAAGCAATTTTTGATGACCCGCACAAAGGTGATTAATTTTTGTGTTTTACTTTTGTTCAATAACATTTTTCATATAATTTTCAATATTATATAATTCTTTTTCCTTTACAAATAAAATCTAATCTAACCGTTTCATAATATCAATACAATTATAAGTATTATATCATAATATGTAATTTTTTTTTTTTTTAATGTGGCCCTTGATGAACAATTGAAAAAAAAAATGGCCCGTGTGGTTAAAAAGGTTGCCGACCCCTGGTTTAAACCATTTACACATATAGTAATTATTACAAGTCATACAACTTTCGGACTATAAAATTATAATATGATTGTACATGTGTGTGTTAGTAAAAATATTGAACTCCCCACCACCCGAAATTTTTTTTATACGCACGCCCCTGATTTTATTGTTATTGAAATAATTCTATTGTATATCATATACAACTACATTTATCTACATAATCGTGAATATAAAAAGAGTGTAGTATTATTTTCATTTTCACTAACAAAATATTATTTAGACGATTATGATAGATCAATAAACCTATATCCTATTTTCATCGTATAGCTATAAAGTATGAATGATAAAATATATTAGGTACTTAAAAATTAAGTTTATTGGTTATTTTATCATTTACAATAATTTAGAATAAATTCAATACTTTACATTTTCTTTATTTTAATTGATTTATAAAATATGATATTCAACAAGGACAACACTTGTAAATATTCATCATTTCAGATAAATAGACTATTCTAATAATTCGTTTTCATCAACTTAATTTTAATTTGTACAAGTTGACGTTTGCCAACATTAACAGTTACGATTAAAAACGTTTTTTTTAATTATTTTAATTACAATTTTTTTAAATTTCCCTTCTGCTATCATTGTTTTTGTATAAAATACATATTTATTATTCTTGTTATACTGGCGTAGCGGCGTATAGTACTTTCACTATTTACTACAAATTATATTATGTATACAAACAATTAGACATAAATATATTTGATTATGTTACACTATTCTTTATTGAAATATAATAAACACTTTAAAAGTAATTTATGGAAATATTTGTTATATTAAAAATATTTAATATAGTTGAACCGTTGAACGTCTAATCAATCAATGAATAAAGTGTATAATTTTGTAATAGTTGTAGAGGCATGCAATTATGTGAATTGGGTTAGCCGGGAAAACATAAGTACGTGCAATATAGAAAATTTAATTTAGCCATTCCTTAAATTCATCGCTATTTTTTATTTTAAACATATCAAATGCTTATGAATAATAAAAGTATTTATTTATAAATTAAATAATATAAAACATGAATTAAGGATGTATTACTCACTGCAAGAAAAAATTTTCTTTTCCGAGATTTAAAAGAGTAAAAATGTTTAAACTTAGCATTGTACCTACACTTATAACACCCGATAAAATGCTCCCGAAAACGAAAGTTAAAAATGTTAACTATGTTATTTTATTCAATTAAAATTTAAAAACATTACCTATGCTTTAATCATGATATACGCGTAGAGTCATGTGTTTATAAAAGCGTGTCATTAGCTAGATTTTAGAAATAGTCACCTCACATTAGTGAAACAACTCTATTATTCTTTTAGAATATTTATTTTTCCGCCCTCATGGATTCTCCGCTCTCGAGCTCGAGTTTTCATTAGATAATAATAATTACTAATTACTTTCACAGAGGACGAACATTGTGTATTAGATATAGATTAATTCTATTATCTTGCGTTGATCATATAATTATTCGTAAATAGACAATAATTATAATGAATTTTTTTTAAAAAACATTAGTTTTTAATTCCATTTTAGTAGGTTTAGTATAAATAAATAAAAATAAATTCACTCAGCAAACTAAGTTTTAATAGTTTTGTAAAATTTTTTACTGTAAAAATGTAAAGTAAATGTAAACGATTTTGTTCAAATTCATATTTTATACATAAAATCAATTTTAATTTAATTTTAATGAAAATCATCATCGTTTTGTTTAACAGTTAGGTAATTATACATTATCATGGGTATATTAAATATTTCGTTTTTAACTCATAAACAGCAATTATATTGAGTGATTGAAGCATTTTATAGAAAAATATAATATATACTATTATAGGTACCCACTATAATAATATAGGGAAAATATTAAAATACATATAGATATGTCTTAAAGTTGGTATAACAGTTTTTTTCTTACCAATTTTGTGACGTCACTTTAATTTGTTACATTTAAACCACGCCTACTATTGTAATTATTATTATTATTATTTTTTAATCGAAATCTTCGTAAGATTACTCCTATAGCAATTGATAATTAATATTATTACTATAATCATACTATAATACTATAATTTAATCATATGGGATATGATTTTTGATTTTTTCAATATTTTTTCGTGTATTAAAGAAAATGTCAACAAGTTTTTTTTTATTAAGTAATAAAATTTTGTTATTCAATATTTTAATTAACCAATAAGCTATTAAGTATTTTTAATCAAGTTATGTCTTAAGTATTTGTTGATCACATAAGTAACGTTATTGTTTTTATTTCTAAAAGCGTTTGTAGCTTAAACATTAATTTTATCGTACCGTAACATTAATATTTATTTGGTAAAATTAAAAATATAATCTTGTATTTAAAATTTCTATTATTACTTATTGTATTATTTTTTTTTTTTTTTGAGTTGTTCATCGTAGAGAATTAAGATATGATATTTTTCAATATAAACTTATTATATGCTCAAAAAATATAGGTTTCAGATAGAAAGTCGCAATTATTATTTTTAAATTATTGATTATATTCATATACCACATATGCTTCAACAACTTATAGACACAGTTTTACATTTATTTACATTTTGATTTATTTTATTTCACCTTATTATATATATATATATTATATATATGGCGTAAAAGTACATTCAGTTAGGTTAAGTATTTGTGCATAAACTACTTTATTCCGAATAATTATATGTATATATGGTGTACACATGTATAATAGCATATTAAAATAATTTATAGTGTAAGTCCAGTATGTAGATTAACAATAAACTGGTATTATAAAAAGAATTTTTCTAATGAACTATTCGTTAATATTTATCAATTGTTAATTATTGATCATAAAACGGCGTAGGTATGCGAATAGTTAAAAGATGTTTCGAAGAGATCAGGTTATAAAGTAAAATAATATTAGTCGTATACACAAACAATTGTAACATAAAACAGGCCCTACTCGCAAACCGAATGTTGATTAATTGGAAAAGGAGGGAAAATACTTTTTACGTTTCGCTCAGGTTTCAGTCGGAGTTAACGGTCATTTAGTACTATGCAATCAACATCGTAGTAAACATAATGTGTAAATATAACTGGAATAAATATAATTTAACTAATTTTATTGGCTTTTACGAAATTCAATAACATTTAAATTTTTTTTTAATGAGTAGTGTTTAATGTTTATTAATAGTGCCACACGTGATAATTACAAGAACGAATTAAACAAATGTAAGTCTACATTAATTTAGGATTTAATTGTTTATGCTTTTGCTATATTTTACAAACAGGTAGTTAATTAAAAAAGTATAGATAATTATTTAAATAAAAATCGCATTGTTTGTAAGTAAAAATTAGCATTCAGTTATTTTTGTTGGCTTTGCTTATATTGTTAATGATAATTTTTTTTAGTTTGCTTTACTTTCGTATAAAAAAGTTTAAAAAACGATAAAATAACGTATTTTTTTAGCTTAAACATCGAAATAAAATAAAAATTACTTATATACAACCAAATAACACTTATGAGTTAAATTGTGTGAAAACAATTTAAGTACCTATAAAGAATAATATACTAATATATTATATTGTGTAATGTGTATTACAAACTCTAAAAATAAACTTATTTATAATCTATAAAATAGTAATTGCCAATATTATAATATAGCTTTTATAAAACTATTATCTGTAGTTAAACCTACATTCCTAAAATAAGCATTAACATTTTTAAATTGTTTTATGACTAGATATTTTGAAAATGTTCTTATATTGTTTTTAATATCATATAATATTTCTAAAATAAGTATTTATCAATTGAAAATATGTATAATAACTACAAAAAAAAAAAATTATTACTAAATTACTATTTATACCTTTGGCACTCATTATTTCTTTCTTTTGCAGATAACTTTATGGATGTAATTACTTATCTTATTATAGTCTAAACTCTAATCTTTAATTATATTATATACGTTGTATAAAATAAACACATTTGACGAGGCTTATATAAACAAAATTGTCTTTTTTATGCGATAATATTTCTTTTCACATCGTATTTAGAATTTAGATATATTATGAAATTTACTGATATAAATCAGATGATTTTTAGTTTATATTGTACTTGAACTTGGTTATCAATGAATAATTATATCTTAATTTTATACGTAATTTTTTATGATAATACTCGTATAATATGGATATGGTACCTATAGTAGTGGCGATAAACTATTAAAATATTAATATTCATAAGTAAATACACAATACACAAATTATATGTGTACCTATACTTACTTATGCCTGTAACATCATGTATAATAAATGAATTCAAGAGCTCTCTAGTTATTGTTACAAAAATAATACTTAATAACAGCGTAACGTTTTACTATTACTTCTTATGACGTTTGTATGATTATATATGAGTTAGTCTAGCCGGTTACAGGGTTACAGACTTACACTAGTATAGTTTTCAAGAGCTATTATTGACTATTGTATTATACTATACGTAATAAACGTTCAGTGTTTTCTAATTTATATCATAGATTTTTATATATATTACAATTGTTAATTTATTTTTCTATTTAAATCCAAGTATAGGTCTAGTTAAATGTATTTGGTCGTCAATAACGGAACAATTATTGAGACAAATATTTATTAATCAAAGTCTAAACTATTATTAACTATCTTTACAATTCATAGTGGTTAATATTTTAAATAACTTACTAATGCAATTATCTACATACTGTGAAATGGTTTTAATAAATCGAAATATATTATATATTATACCATGTATACCTATATAAGTAATGTTACTATAGTCATAATTAATCACTATTCTAATATTGATTAATATAGCCAATCATTTTTCTAATTTTTTGTTAACTTATTCTGTTTCTCAATTCGTGTATTTCTTCACTTAAAATAAAGTGTTATCAACAATAAATAAGGAAGTATCACGATTATAATAACTTTGATTTTTAAATCATAAGCTCGTAACTTAATACCTATATTTATTTTCATACAAGATATAATTTAACTTTGTGTGGATTCGTGATAAGAAGTTATAAAAATAATTATATTTAGCTTCTTTTGAGGTGATGATGTTTTCGCAGTGAATGAGAAAAAGTGAAAGATAAGATTAAAGTGTTTAAAAGTTAAATTGCTTCTTTTGTGAATGTAACTAATGAAGGATGATTTCTGTTACGTTTGGAAATAATTTATTAATATATATCCCTTAGAATTCCTTATTAGTTATTTGTTATTACAATAAAATTAAAAAGTAAATAGTTGTTGAATTTTAACTATTATGAGCCTTTAACCGTTATTATTTATTTTATAATTTTAATCCTATGCTTTAAATTGATATAATACACATAAACAGTTTAACGTTTATAGGTCACATATATATAATGTAATAGGTATATAGTTAGGATAATTCATATACGTTTTAATGTGCTATTTCCTTGTAATAATATTATTCTATCTGCCCGCATGTCAATGTATAGTTTCAATTATACGGGTAACAACATTTAGGTATAGTAAATCAAAAATAATAACAAAATGTGAGATCGATTTTTTTAATTTCGCAATTTCAGAATTCAATACAAATCTTATTTTTGTGTTTCCAGTAGTGGTGTTGGTTTGTTATTATCAGTTACACTATTTTACACGTTTTGTGTACGCGAGAGCATTTTAATATTGTTGTAACCACAGCCGATTTCGTTTCATGTAGCTCTGACCAGCTTTTATTCATTAATATTAAATATATTTATTAGTTGGAAAATTCAAAATGTGATTTATTATTTTACGATTTCCATTTGTAACGCTGTTTATGCAGTAAAACTGGCAAATTATCCAATTGCTGTTACTGTTGATAGAACTAAAATCAAAACAGAAAAAAACCAAGAAAACCATCTCACGATGATACGATGTAGACATTTATTGCAAATGGAAATACATGTATCATATAATAATATGAATTATTCCATTGATCGACTAACATGCATTATACATTATATTATGGTTTTGCTGTAGGTACTTGTAATTATAAGACCTATGAATATATACATGGACATTCACAACAGATTTATTATTATAATTTATCTGTAATATGAGCTAGACCTGTATATGTATTGATAAATGTTAAAATATTATTTTATTCACCGTTTAAACTTACAACATATACCTGCTGTAGAATAGCCGCGTACCGCATATTTAGATACCTACACAATAACTTTATTGTTATGTACATGCTAAACACAGCATGAAATATATATATTATTGTAATATCATGTCGTGTTTAACTGTTGTCTGTTATAGACTGTAGTGAATATATTATTATTTATTATAATACTAGTTATTCGTTATTTTTACGCGTAGAAAAATATTTCGGGAAATCAGATTTCCTGGTCAGGATCCGCGATCATTGGCTCGGAATATTGTCCTTCAATATAAATGTGTTTTCTATGTCTATGCAACTAAGGACACATGTGAGTTATAACATAAGCGGATCAAAACTAAATGGCCCGGAAAATTAAATATTTTTATAAACACTGTATAATACACAAAAATAGTTAATGTTTTTTTTAAAACTCATGTTAGCAAAATGGTGTGCATTAATATTTATGTCCTTTGACATTTTTCTTCAAAAACTACTGAAAAATTTTAAAAATCTTAAAAGTCGTTAAATTTTAAGTATATTATAGCACTTTATTTAAACATATAAATAGATATTATGTTTTGTGAATGCTTTCCCATTTTTTTTTTTTACTTCTCTTAAAGGTATTTTGTGAAAAAAACGTTGTCCATGTACAATCAATGTATATGTACTTACATCGTTTGACTCAGGGTTTAAAACCATTAATATTATAATACAACTCATGTTGATATATCATTTTACTATAATTTATAATAATAATATGAAATGCAACTCGCTATGGGATCCGCTGCATTAAAGTAAACATATTTTTGAATTCGAATGAATTATAAATTCATACATACATGATACATATAAATATAAAATATATAATTTTATATACTATATTAATATGGATAAGATGTGACGAGAATAAACGAAATTGACGCGGTGCAATTTCAATGATTATTCTTTTTATATTTATGCATTATACGGTGAATTCGTTTTACGGACATTACTCATACTCATCAGAGCGAGTAATATATAAAGTAGTTATACAGACCAAATGGTACTCATATTATTTTTATTTACGGCGTGACGCCATTCGAACTTACGTGGCTACGTGATCGCAAATAATCATTGTAACGTTAATAATGCCGAATATAAACATGTGATCAATTTATTTTGTATTCTGCTGTTATATAACTATAACTAAATAAGTACGCATATCTAATCAAAATCTTATTAACGTGTTACGAGATGTGTTGATTTGAGGTAATTTCTGAAGACGTTCAATTCAAATTCTATCTATTAAAAACCGTAAAAATCAATTGATATAATCTATTAAATCTACATTTCTAAAATATATTCGAGAGTAAGTATTATTGTGGAATTGAAGCATTGATTTATTAAATTCATCTTCTTAACATGTTTGATCGTGAAATCGATAAATTCCTCTTTTGTTAGAGACCTTAACCATGATTTCAACTATCTACCAAATAAAAAGTAAAAAGTCTCTAAATAAGTAAATAGTAATGTGTATTAAGTATTATATATTTGTATCAATACTATACTTAATAAAATATTTATTTATTTTTTATGATTTTATGGAAAATTCCTAATCAGAAAAACAATTTTTTTCAATGAATCCAGGATTAGTTACAGCCGTTACAGGAGTGGTATAGTATTCCTAAATAGATGTTATATAAATTTATCAATAACAGTATGACATTGACTAGACAATTTTCATATATGAACATAATAGGGATGTACCAAAATTGGTTTACAATAAAAGTCTATATTCCACTGGTCACTACCAATTACTATTGAAGTCAATCGAGATAAAACTAAATATACGTTCGTTAGCAGAAATTATACCTTTCAAGCAGTAACAGACTTTATGTACCTTGTATACTTATGAAATATAAAAATAAAAAACTATTCAAATCCAGAATCTTATTTAGAAGGTTGAATACTTTGATTTATACCTACTCAAATTATTTACATCTGACCTATCTTATGGATGCGAAACGTGGTTGGTAACAATAGGATAAAGAAATGATCTTAGAAAAAAAAGTAATTCGCTATAGGTACGTGCGTATGGCTCTGTCATTGAAAATAGAAAATATCAAACTAGAACAAACTAGGGAGTTTATCAGTTATTTCAAAAACTTAACATAGAAGCATTTATAAGAAGCAAATAAAATACCAAGAAAAAAGTATATTTATGTATAAATAGATCAAATAATTAAATTCAAAGTAATGAAATAATGTATTAACCTGTATTAAATTACTAACTACAATAACATAGATTCAATAATGATAAATAATACAAATGCATTAAATAAATATATATCATTCTAAAATTAAAATAAATTTTAACGTTCATTTTATTATTTCCAATTACTTATTCAGTGCTGAAACGTTAAAATTTATCTTTATTTTAAAACAGCCTTGATAAACGTTTTTTGTCTAATTCAAAAAAATTAATTAAAGGTCATGCTATTTCACCGGATTGGTAATCAAATTAAGTCCAAAACGTTTTGATGGTGTTACACATAATTCTGAAATTCAAATTAAAACAAATATTTCATAATCTACTATTTTTTGCATTTTACTACAAGCGCATTTATTGGTCACGGACGTCAAACACAAATAAGTATATTAAATGTATGTAATAGTCTATAAAACATAATTTAATCAAATACACGACGAATTGCGTTTAATATATTTAATTCTAATAAAACGATATTATTTACAATTGTTTACCTCATATCTTATTTTAAACTTAACTAACATAAGATTGATGATCCTAGGTCTGAATAAATCAACAATACATTTAATTTATTATATATTTTAATGTTCAATGATAACTGTTTTTAGTGTTTTTATTTTATTGTTATTAAAACCTAATAGTTATTAGAGCGATTAACTGATGAATTGGTGAAACGTAAAGATTTAAACTTATTAAAAAAATTTCATCTTTAGAAAAACTTCTCTAAAACAAATTACGCACATGCGTTTGCATACAGGAATTTAATGTCATGATATTGTGTATAGTTGTGTATAGATGAATAGACACATTAAATCACATATAAGTATATTCGTTATATACATATTTAATCAAATATTAGGAAGTAAATATAAATACATAAATATATTCGAGATAATAGTTAATTTAACAAAGATTTAATTTTCCTAACGGTTTAAACAAATTATTCCTTCCTTATTATCGACTAAATAATATAAAAAAATAAAAATAAAAAAATCGGCACAACCATGGTCTTATTAAAATACTTTTTATGTAAGTATATATTTTCATATATGTATACATAATATGTAATAAATACATGTTCTCAAAAATATTTGTCTACTCCGTTCTACTAACAAAATAATGTGCGTGTCTGTGTTGGTTTTATCATTATTTCCTATTGGAGTTGATTTTTAAGAATCCGTTACAGCAAACACGCCCAGATAACTAATTATTCGCTCACACATGCAACATCATATGCGCCTAAGGCCGTACTCAGAAAAAAATTTCGGGAGGAGAAGAGATTAAAAAATCTTGGTTTGTGGTTATAAATGATTTAAAACAATTAAGTATATATATTAAACACCCATACATAAATTAATTAGGTTTGTTAATAATTATTTAAATACCCATATACCTATAAATAATATAAAATAAAATTGAATTCACTTTTACAGCACAGATTTTAATTTTTATTTTTTGTTTTGAAAAAATGATTGATTTCTTCCTCAGGATCAACATGAATATTTCTATGTACACTAAGTAATGCTAAACCGATCAGTCTATCTTCAGTGGCAGTGTTTCGAAAATAGTTCTTAATCCTTTTTAGAAAAGAAAATGTCCTTATTATGACCTTTACGATTAGATTAGATACCTTAGAACGTGGGTAATAAAGATTATCAAGGTTATTGTTGCTAAAGGCTTTAATATAGATCCCTGTCTCTCATTGAGAGATAAATATTGATCTAGAAATTTAATGTATACCATATTAATATTATATTGCAATTTTTTTTTTATTTATGCTTTAGCAACTACAGTCATTAGCACTATTCAGTAATTTCGTTCAAGCACCAAGCCACACTATTCCCCTATTGCTCCATATTGCAGCTGTTTGAACTATAATGCTATATAATTAATATTATATTAATAAAAAAAAAAAAACCCGGATATTAAATTTCTAAGTTATCATATGCGAGAAAAATTGGTGGGGAGAGAGGGTGAACAACATGCTAGGTATGGCCTTGCACGTGTCACATCATTATCATCGCATCGTTTGAAATAGTACATAACATTATATTATGCAAAAGTTAATTAAACGAATTCGGCCGGGGTATAGCTATTTAAATTTAAAACCGCTTTCGTATTATCGACTTGTATAATAATTATACACGATTCGCGAGACTGACGCATTTATTAATTTATTTTAATATACTATTATGTACATGCGTAAGAAAATTGTTATAAACACAAGTGTTATGATGTCAAGTGGTCAACTCTGTTATCGCTAAGTGTTTTTTTTTTTTTTTTACAGCCCATCGGCCATCACACACACATACACACATGAGCACGCGCACGTGCGTCTAAATTATAATTCCATTTTAACTTTATAGATCTAGTCACCTTAGCCCATTGTATTTTCGTACACAATTATAATAGATAATATAATTGCACGTCGATGATTTCAGTGGTCTTGAAAGTACTAACACAATAATAAAATTGATATCCGAACCTATCCGCCCCTTGCTCTACGACTGTACATAGTAATATAGTATAATATACACTATTACACATTCAACACACGCCATAAGTACACCTACCATCAGTATTCAGTACCATCTATAAGGTACATATAAAAACGGCAGGTACACTATACGATGCTCATTGTCTGTATAGTACATTTTTTTATACATTAAAATACGTCGTTAAACTTTCCGTTGCTTTGGACAAACTATTTGATAAGGCAAGTAGTAGAAAATATAAGGTAAAAATAAATAACATCTAATACACGTGCATATAATAATATATAAACAAAAGTCGAGTTCACACATTTTCAGCAGTTTCTTCAAAAGCCAATCTTGTTTTCATACAATATTATATTTATGTACAGAATACCACTTTGTATCCGTCTTGTCGGACGGTTTTCAGGATGGATACATAGCGTTTAAGAACTTGCACGCATATAATATAATGGTGATGGGCTGAAAAATGTTATTTCTTCGTACATAAAATAACGTATACGATAAAAACCAAGCAAATTATTTCATAAATAACGTTTAATACGAAATAAATAATTATGTAATTTCACGCGTTTTGCTGTTTTTTCTCCTCGTTCTTCACGGTTTGCCGTGTTAATTATTTTTGGCTGCAGTACCTATAATAGTATACTTACACAAATCATTATATTATAAACGATAGTCTACAGGTTAACTATATTTTTATTATAACGAATGACGTCTGATAAAATTGTTTCCGTGTGCAGTAAATAACTACTACGATGGTGCCATATCGTTATTGTTGCGGCGGCGGGTTGATTTCGACATTGATGATGACGGTCCTAGCGAACGCGGCCGCAGGAATGATGAAGGTCGAATACAGTTGGGTATTCGTGGACTACACATTCGCCAGCCCCAATCACCGAGAATCAGCCATAAAATCCGGCAAGTTCATTCCGGAAAACTGTGTCATACTGGATGTAGACACATTTTATGGTGAATATAATATAATATAATATAATATAATATATTATGCTGCACGTTTTAATCGTAAAATATAAAAGACAATCCGACACCCCGCAGACACAGTGATAAGCATTTACATATTTGTTTACTATACACTTATTCTCATGTCATTTAATGTGTTGATGAATACACGTTTACCTCGTTAAACGCATAATTATATATTACTTACACTTATATAGTATACGCAATAATATCTTTGTTTAGTCAAATAAATTTATTAGAATATTAAAAACAAGCAAAAAAAAATTTTAAATAGATTTAGGCTTGAAAAAATAGTTGGCATTAATTAAGATATAATACATAGTACTGAGAATTTTCAAAAAGTACCAAATAGATCCAATAAAGGGAAACTACCCTCAAATTGAAAATTAAAGCACTATTTTTTTTTCCATAAAACGTATACACATACGAATAAAATATAAAAAACCAAATTATTGTAAAACCAATACATTTATCGCTGAACAAGGTCATAAAGTAAGAAATACTTTTAAGCAAGACCTAAGCCCTCCTTCACAGGTTATCATTTACCAGCCCTAGTTACGCTCAAGTTAACCTACTATAGTAACATTAGTAACCCATTTTATCGAAATCTTCGGAATATGCCTATAGGTATGCATATTATTATGGTCGTAGCTACGGAGGGGGTTTAGGGGGTTTAACCCCCTCCCCAATTGACTTTAATTTAATTATTCAATCAACATATTTTGAATGACTTTTTTTTTTTTTTGCTATACCATCCCTGATATATACCTAAACCTAAATCCTCCCACCCCCATTCAAAAATTCTAGCTACGCCACTGCGATATTGTATGCGTATTAATTTAAGCGTAGCTGAAATATACACATTTTTTTTTTTTTTTATTCACTAAACCGTAGGCACTAGCACCTAAACCGTTTGTTTTACAATTAGTTCAGTAGGTATCGCGAACATAGGTCATAAAATGCACACAGATTAAACACTATTATTATTTATATTAACGTGAAAAAATTGTGTTTACTTTTTTTATACATATTATCATATGCACGTTTTATTTTATTTCCTGGGCGTAACTAAATCCACTAGTATATCACAATATTTATTTTTCTATCTAAATCAATCTTTATTTTATGGATACAAAATCTATTTCGTCACACAAAAATCAAGTATCCGCCATTGTTATTGCATTGTTATTACTTTTTTATCACAAAATATTATACTTTTTGACATACGTATTCTGCATTTAAAATTGATCCCGGAACGTTCGGAGACGAGTTATTGCAAAGAATTCTATGGAAATTTTTTATAATTTTAATAAATTATGGAGTTAGTGTAAAATAAAAAAATTAAACTCAACAAATAAAACATCATATTTATCTAGGTACATTTATAATTAATATAAAAATTTATTTAATTACTATATTATTAAATTAACAAAATTTAATGATTAAATGTTTAAATTTGATATCATATTAAATAATTGACCATATGAATTACAAAAATATTAATATTACGATTCAACCATGTGCAACTCTATAAAAAATAGCTTAGATGTTTATTCTTTATTTATAAACGATTTTATGATTATTGTTATTAATTTAAAATAATCATATGATGCATTATTCTTTATGTGCATAACAAATGCCTTATATATTAATGCAAATAATTTGTAAATAATTTTAAACATTTTACTTTCTCTTCTGAGTTATAGATACATCTGATGGAAAATTATTATTAAATATGGGTTCAAATACTGCTCCCAAACAACGAGTGTTCGTAACTATTCCTCGTATCAAGCCAGGAAACCCTGCATCGATCGCAGAAATAGTTCCAGGGGATAGCCCTAAATCTGTACTATTAGCGCCCTACCCAAATTGGAAGGCGAATACTATTTCAGAAAACAAACTCAATTGCGATGATACAATTGTTTCTGTATTTAGAACTAAAGTGAGTGAACTATTTAAACGTAACTATAAAAAATATTTCAAATTAATTGACACGTACATTTTTAGATTGACCATCTCGGTCGATTTTGGGTTGTTGATGTCGGTACAGTGAACCAATTTGAGAATACCATTCACTCCGTGTGCCCCCCTAAACTTTTAATATTTGACTTGAAAAATAATGATAGAGTTATAAGTAAGTCTAAATAAAATGATAAAGTCTAAGAATTGTTTTAATATTTTTCTTTAATACACTGATGTCTTTAATTGTATCTCATTGTCGTTGTTATAGAGACATATCAATTTCTATCGTCACATGTAAAAGAAAATTCGTTGTTTACTAACATCGAAGTCGATGTCAGAGATTCAAACGGCCGTAATACATTTGCTTATATATCTGATACTACTGCATTTAAACTTATTGTGTACGATTTTAAAAATGACGACAGTTGGATAATAGATCAAGCCTATTTCTACCCATTTCCAAATAAAGCTCATTTTAAAATCAATGGTGTTAACTTCGACTTAATGGATGGATTATTGGGACTAGCTTTAGGTAATAAATTTGGCATTGTTATTAGTGACTATAATGACTATAACATATAATTTCCCGATGTTCAAAAACGTAATTGTTTAGGTCCTAAAATACAAAACGATCGAAAATTGTATTTCCATGCATTCGCTAGCATTAGAGAATCGTGGGTGTATACCAATACATTACAAAATAAATCACTATTTCAAAATGGTTTAATCGACGGTTCCGGTACATTCTTTTTATCGTCGGAAGTCAGAGAAACCCAATCTAGTGTTGAAGTAATGACAAATAGTGGAGTACTTATATACGCATCAATGGACAACAGTTTATCTTGCTGGAACAGCCAGGATCCATTTACATCTAAATACACTCACATGATATATAAGGTAAATAATAACTTACTACTCTCATACAACTAATTAAATTATAAATAATACTATAATATAGTTATATTTTGTATACATAACAATTTAAACATGCTACTTTGTATATTTATATATTTTGTGTTAAATTAAATTTTATGATTGAAGCTTTGTAAAAGATACTAGTATTTAAAAAAGAAATTAAGCATTTGTTGAGCATTTAGTGGAAAATCCAAATTTATAATCGTTTAAATTTGTTATATTTTAGAATGATGAAGATTTTCAATTCCCTACTGGTATGAAAATTGTGGGTGACAAACTGTGGGCAGTGTCATGTCAACTTCAAAATCATTTCACAACTATGGTTACGAATCGTAAATCGATCAAGTGTAGGGTACTAGTTGGTCGAATTGACGATTTAATAAGACGAACTGGATGTAATAAGAGGTCGGCAAATCTCGATATAAATTTAACAGATGACCCTTCAAAAGATCGCTTAGTATTTAGTGGTTAAAAGAAGTAAATACGGTAAAAGGGATGCTTGCTTTAATGTTTATTTAAAAAAATTAAAAATTTAGTTTGTAATACATATTAGTTAATGTAGTTTTACACTTGAATTTGTAATTACTGTTGAAAATTGGAACACGATTACATGCATATTTGCACAAAATAATTTAACCTTGACACAATTATTTATTTAAACGAATCACATTTTTTTAGTAGAATTTATATAATAACTAACAAACCTTAAAATGTTTCAAGGATTAAAAATTATTCCCACGTATCAATAGACAAATTATAAAACTGTTGTTATATTATTTAATATTTATAATCAATATATTGTACATATTTATTTAATTTATTAAAAATATTTTTCTGTAAATATAATATGTTGTATTACAGTTGATGTATGTTGTTGTAAAAAAAAGGCTTCATATCTATGAATTGGTTTCTCTGGCTGTGGTAATTTATATAATCCTTTCCTCGTTAAAATCTACGGGTACACCTTAGATTGTATCATATATTCATATGATCTAAAGGGTACTCATATAAATCAATATAAATTAATTTTTTTTTCAATATAGGACAATGTTCAACGATTATAATGACGAGGTTCTAGTCGATTCGTTTGACAACAACATATTGCATGAATGGCCCGGCGTACCTACAGACACAGAACCGTGGAGCTATTCAAGAATGTCTAGGGTATTCGAAAACAAAAATGGCATAAAGCAGTCACTTGTAAAGTCGTTAGTGTTGACCGGAAATGTAAACGTACACAGTCACAGTAAACCGAAGTCGCGGTCTTACGATTGCCGTATGAACATGATCAACGGTCAACTGAAAAGCCACGACTGTTTGGGCAAGTCTCATCGGAAAAGCCGAGTGAGGCGCAGATCCGGTCCTCTTAGGTGACATCAGTTGTAATGTTATAATTGTTGCTCGTGCGAATCATTGTAACGTACAATACGTACAACGGTTCATTTTCATTTTCAGAGATCACTTATTATCAACTTCTGCAGCATTATAGTTATTTTTTTTTTTTATAAATATATATGTATGTAATATAAACCATATATAACCTCATAACTATAAGATAAGTACTCTAGTAATGCTACCATCTTTAGTTTGTATATTATATTTTTATATTTAGAGATCACGGTTGCGTAACGCGCGTACAACGGAAGAAGTCTCGCGCGTTTTATCCTGAAATTCATTAGCTTATAATTACGTAGATACGTTCGTATATGTGTTAAGTGAAAGACATTAATAAGTGCGTACTGAATAATAAATTTTACATTCTAAATGTGATTAGAACATGTCCATAAACAATTTTAAGAAAACGAAGTGTTTAAATAATGATAATTTTGAAATAATTTAGTTACATAGTTATATTTTAAATACTCGTACGTAATACATAGGATACACGCACATAACTGAAACTTATATTGATAATTTAAAAATTTAATTTTTAATTTTTTAATTTTAAAAATAGCTTATGGTATCTTCTATAAATATAGTTTATTCTATAAACGTATCCATAAAATAAATTTAATGACTAATTTATAACATTGTATGTATATATTCCTAAATTTTTTTTTATTATTACATTGATTAGGTAATAATCATGATTTATGAATAAATTTCACACTGTTTGTTTAATTCACTGTTATCTCCAAAAAATATAATTAAATATCAAATAAAACAAGAATAGGTAGTGATCATAACTGATAAAAAAAATTAGGTTAAATATTTATCATTATTAGTAATGACTTATTACTAATTATTCATTACCTACTAAATGCTAACCCATAGTAAATATTAAATTTAAATGTACATTGTAAATTAATAGGTAACAAATTTTAAAATCTTGCAACTACAACATAATGCTCATTTAACAGTTCAAACAAGTATTATTTAATAGTTATAATTTTAATCGATTAATGAAAATATTAATAATTTAAGCTTAACATTTGAATACAATAAAAGTCTAACTAAATATTTAACTAAGAAAACTGTATAAAATTGTACATAGTATGTACCGTGTTTTTATCTACTTACTCAAGTAGATAATTTAAAATATAAGAATATGTGTCATATATTATTTATACGTTTTACTTATATTTATAGTTTATAACAAATGTATTATTATTAGTTTATTACCAGTTGTGTAGTTTTAATATGAATAATAACACAAACGTATTTTATAGTATTTTATTGTTAACTCTCAAAATCGTAATGACTAAGTAGTAAATGTGTCTACCTACAAAACATCGATGGACAGTCCCCACCGATCATGTAATATGATATTCATAGTATTATTAATATAAAAACGTGTAATGTACATAAATGCTAAGTATGCAACATCTCTTTTCTTGTAAAAAAAATATATATATAATTATAGTATAATTTGCTTAATTTCTATGTTAGTATTTCTTACATAATAGTATTATTTAATTATATTTTAATTGTAAAATTAATTGTAATCACTTAGAGAATATCACTGAGACGGTTTTCTAGATCTAATTGATCTAGATGTTTTATTTATGGATATAGAATTTAAATTTTGTTCTATAAATATTTAAACATTTTCCAATTTTTCATTTGTTTCACTACTAGCCGGTGTAAGTGAAATAAAATTATTTGGGGCTGTCAATAATTTATCAATGAGTAATTTGGCCATTGTGACGTTTCCGAATTGTACCGACGTTTAGTTCTACATCACGCACGTTGTTACTAATGCATTAAATAATGTTACCCTTTTGCCATTTTATATTATTTTCTCTTTAATCTCTAGGTAAAACATTATCGCTTACATTAAATAATATTATCCTATTACTGCCATTGCTTACTTGAGATAATTGCCGTTCAATGACTACTTCGCTTGTATTCAATAATGGTGTGTTAAATTGTAAACGAGTGGATTGGCCTAACATTAACTGAGCTGGCGTTTCTCGTGTTGTTGTATGCGGTGTATTACGATACATTAACAGAAATTAATTTAATTGAGATTGTGCTGTCGAATATTTTTTACAGAAGTTTGTAATTGTTTTAACTGCTGTTTTGGCTCAACCGTTCAATTCTGGATTAAATGGTGCGCCTGTGGTCTGTCATGTGTCTTATACCTAGATTTTTGCGATATTATTGAAATTCAAAACTTATGAAACATTTTACGCTATCTAATGTAATTGTTTTTTGAATACCAAATCGTGCTATTGTTTCCGAAAGTTTATTCATGATGATAACTGCTTTCATATTATTTACTGAAAATACTTCTAACCATTTTATAGTTGCATCAAATATGATAAAAAAATATTTATTTTGAAATTATGATATAACATAGGCCAATCGTTGTAATCAACTTGCGGCATTAATTGGTATCCATATAAATAATCATAAAATTTCGTAACACTGTAAATTATTACTAAGGCTTCCTTTTCTATTTGTGGAAATTTACACTCGACTCAGACAATATTCTTGAAGCATAGGCTACAGGTTTTTCTGTGCAATCTAGGTATATTACATGTGAAAGTAGTCAATAGTTCATTAGAGTGTCATACTCTACATCGTCAAGTGTGCTTGGAACACATAAGCTGAAAAGTACTTAATGAATTTCTTCACTAACCGATGATAGTAATATGGCCCTTTTTTTGAATGTTAATTGAATTTGCCTAAAAAAAAAAAATTGTTAATTTTGATTCAATAATGGTAATGTCCATACCTGTTTCAAACATTCCTGGTAACCCAATTGTTTGATTGAAGTTCATTTTTGTGTTCGTCTTAGAATTCGCCATTTTATATTAGTATGAATACAACACTTGAAACTTCTGATAAAATAACGATTACAACTTATAGGTAATAAAAAATGTATTATGATTATGTTAATAATTATATTGTTAATTTGATTTTCTTCGTCGCCAATTTGTTATGCAGTATTAATATGAATAATAACACAAACATATTTTATAGTCCTTTATTGTTAACTCTCAAAATCATAATGACCAAGTATATGTGTCTACTTACCAAAGACCTATAGCCTCCTATATATAGTCCCCACCGACCCCACCGATCATGTGATATAATATTTATAGTTATTATTAATATAGAAACGTGTAATATACATAAATGCTGAACATGCGACTTTACCTGTTTTCATATAATGATAAATTACGACATGAAAAACTTTTAATTTAATTTCTTATATGCAATCCATATGACCTCACTTAACATTATATATATACCTAATATAAAATGTAATAAATACTCATTATTCATTAGTCATTATCTATTACCTATAAATATAAGATATTACTTATTATGCTTATTGACTTTACTCATTAAGTATTGCTGTAAATATGTGTCAAACTTACACAAAAATAAAATGACATTTTTTATCGTTAATCTTAACTTGTTATGACAAAATAAATTGTGTGTACACATATTTTATAAATTATAAAAATACGCATAGTATACAAATTAATTTTACATGACCATGCCACTATATTTTTCAAAAGATATTTTAAAAACATTTCGGAGGAGGGAGTGGGTTAGTCCTTAATCTCCTCTATGTAAGACTAAAAACTGAAAAGTCCATTGTTATCAAACCATTTACGTACTATAGGAATATGCATGATGTCCATTGGTCCATTTATCTATTTACCATTATAAGCTATTCAAAGCTACGTGACAAGTTTCACTATACCTGCATTTTTTTTTTTTTTTATTAAAGCTTTCCTGACATTGTCATCTTAACTTATTGTTAATAGAATTAAATATTTTTGACATCTAGAAAATACATAACATTAATAGTATAAGTCAATAAAGATGATAATATTACAGTGTAAAGTTTCACGATACATTTAAACTTCGAATTTATTTATCTTGAATAAGGTTTTTACATTACTTTGAGATTATTTTCTAAAAATTAAATTAATTAAATTAAATTTGAATGATCAACTGGTTTTTATTATGACTTTTGCTAAAAATATTCATTATTATTTATTAGTAATATTTAAACAAATTATACAAAAAAATTTTCGTGTTCTTAAATTTCAATGGTAGGTAAATTATAAATTTCATAAAGCAAAAATTAAATATTGATATGCTAATATAATTTGTACCATTAAATATAAATTATATCATTAGGTATAGTAGGTACCTATCTTTACTTTCAGGTTTCAAGAAAATAACTAATTATTTACTTGTCTACGTAGTTTAATAATTACATACGGATGTTTTATATCATTATGTTTTGTTTATTTGCTTAAAATTAAACAAACCAATTAGTTATACAATAAATAAAGCTGAATATATAATTTATTATGTAGGTAACTGAACTAATTTTAATTCTTTAATATGAACGAAAAACTCAAAGATTAGATAGTTATACAAGTTTTGAACGTTAACAAATCGAACCGTTTAAACCTTCAGAATGGAATCTATTAAGACCTGTAAGTTCAATATTGTCAATTTCGTACATATAATGTATGTAAGTACGTATTATGACATTAGAAAGTTGCGTCCAACAAGTCTTGTCTTCGTGATAAATATAAATAGAATATAAATAATAAATGTTTTTACTTGTAATTAATAAATTTAAATATCATGATTGTTTTATTCTTATAAAAATATGATTGACCCCACTGAACATTTTTTTTTGTGAGGAAAGAGGGCATAAGTTTTTAATTTGTAGGTAATATAACATATGTTGAATATGAAAATATTTGAAGTTAAATAATTTAAAAAAAAAAATTAAACATAGTTATTTAAAATAATAATTATATTTGAAGTCATAGTCAAAGCTTTAAATTTGTTACAATAAAATTACAAAATTCATATTTTAATTTTTATTGCATTATTTTAATAACTAATATGTGTATGCATACAGTAATATACAATAAATATAGTAAATACCTAAAGTAGTAAAGTATCTAATAAATACATAGGCCTTTTCATATATTTTACAAATTTACAATGATAGTATAAGTAACACATAAACGTAATTAATTCAAATAGCTGAAAAGTTTGTAATATAAAATTAGTTGCTTATCTTCTAAATAAAATTGAACTTTCAACTTAGTAAAATTTTATGTGCACACTCATATATTATATTTTTATCTAAAATTGTATTACTTATTAGTTATTGTATTAAACTTTAATCAAAAATAGACTAATAGCGCTCAATGATGGAACCACTTTAATACTTAAATACCATACTCTGAATAAGAATAAGAAACATATTTTATGATTAAACCCTCCAACAGGCTCCGCGATAATTTAAAAAAAACAACTTTAATTTTTGATAAAGTTTTGACATTTTTTATGAATATTTAATTGATA